GGCCTGTACCCCCTTACTTTCACCCCTGTGTGCAGCATCAGGGCACAGCCCTGTGATTACTGTGTGGCACTTTGCGACTCCATTTAATGGTGAAGCAGCTCTCCAGCAATTCAAGGATGAGTGTCACTGTTCTGAGATCAAGAGGTCTGGACTCAACACCCTTAGCTCTTTCTTTCTATATTAACACAGACTGTTTGCTGGTGGATTAGTGAGGAAATAGGGAGTACGTTTGAATGTCCACTCTTATGCAAACAGGGAAGAAGTATAGCACAATTTTTGGCTCAAGGACCCATGGTCAGAAGAGGCCCCAGTGACCAGCAACTAGTACAGTGCTCACTTGATTGTGGCCATCTGACCACATGCTGCTGATGCAAGACCCTCGTTCCATGGTTCAGCCCTGTGCCCTTCAAACCATGTCAGAAGGTGAGTGAAGGGATTAGTGCAGACAGTAATGGAGTCATGTAGTTCCAGTGCAGCCAGCATGCATGGCACACACTGTTGGCTGTGGGAAGAAGGAGTGAAGATTGATTTTCAGGGAGAGATGGGGAAAGCCAAAGTTTTGTTGGTCCCCACCCAGTACGCTTTTGCTTCCCCTACAGCTGGGAGGGGAGTGAGACGACAAAAATTGTTGTTTCACAGGGAATTCTACAAATTAAAAAATAAAAAATTCTGTTTGAGAAGGGGGGGAGGAAATTGAAATTTGCTATAAAATGAAATCCTGAAAAAATTAATTGCAAGTTGATTGAAAGTTTCATTTTGATTTAGACTTTTTAAAAAATTGATATAATGTAAAATAAAAAGATCAAACAAAGTTTGTTTTGAAACAGAAAATCAAAACATTCCTTTCCCAAAAAGGTTTAAACTGAACATTTTGGCCATATAAAAAGGATTGTTTGCAATTTTTTTCTTTCCAAATGAACTTCCATCATAATGTTTAGCTTTCAATGAATTGGTGTCTGTCGGAAAATTTCCAAGCAGCTATACTCCTCCTCCTTTCCCTTAAATCACTGGCATTTCTTACTTACATGTTGTGCTCCCTCTGAGTAAGAGAATCAGGCACATGTGAGATTGCCAGGTATTAAAACGGTGTTGATCTAATCCATACTTTGCATTTATGGAGCTCACCATCAGTTATCATCAGCCCATTTTGTTATGAAAATGTGAACTACAAATATAGCTTAGTCACCTGATCTTGTTGAGAGTATGGATAATTGGTTAGAACTGGAAAAAATTAACAAAAGAGTTCAAAATTATGCAGTGGTATGCATGTTTGAAGTAGTACAGAGGCCTGTCTAACCTGGCGACTTTAGCAAAAGAAACACATCCCAGCTGAATGAAAGGTTAGAAAATACTCATGAAATTTACTCTTCTTCATATAGGAATATGACTATTTGATGGTGCAGTTTATAATTTAGAGCCATATTTAATGGTCATAAGGGTAATATAGCCATTGTAGCATTTGTGAGTGGTGGTAATTATGTTCTTATTTAACAGCAAGATTTCCATGCTCTTTGATCTCTCATTTCAATTTGTTTTTAGAAGAAGTCATGTATTGTCCTTTGGGGTATTCTATATTATCCAAGGCTAGATTACAACATTTTCTACCAAGGAGTTGTGCTATTTCAGAATCTATTGAGTAGTTACCTAGCACGAGTAAATACTACCGTTCTGTGAACAAAATCCTGTCTTTAGTTTCGGGAGCTGTATTAGGGCGGCTTGTGGGGTAAGGTGGAACAGAGCAGTGACAGTGAGAGCGACAGCCATGCATTCTGCACAATATACACTTTGCAGTTGCATGGCAGGATGGCTTGGAGTAAGCTGGCACAGTGTGCTGCCAAACTCATTTTAGTTCTCATTTGATCAGGAGCAGCACGTGTCCCTGGCTAGCTCATTCGACTGACTACATCATAGGGGCTAGCAGGAGGGCAAGACATGTCTCCTATCTGGTGGACGTGGGAAGTGGACCAGTGGCTGAGTGTTCCACCTACTCTTCTCTTGAATTCTAGAGAGAGATCATGTCCTGCTGCTTTGCTAGGGACGGGGAAGGGAAGATGCTCCTTGTGCCTTCTTGCTTCCCAGAAAGCTAGTTCAGGACAGGGCAGGCTCTAGCCTGTAGTGGAGAAGTCAGTTCCCAGAATTGGTCATGGGTAATACCTGGTTCATGAAATATCCTAGATGAATTCTTGATGCATTTCCCATCTGATTGAGACTGGAATGTTCTCTCTCTTCAGGTTTAAACACTGACCTTTCATTAATAGTATTTTTAGGGCAATACATTCAATCGGGACACTTGCATTTGAAATACCTAGATTAGTTTTCCTTCTACTAGTTAAGCTGTAACTAATAAGGTTGCTTAATATCTAACAGACATATATTTCTTAAGTGCCAGGATACAGTTCTGATATTTTAATTTCTCACTGAAGGTAATGTAAAAGATTGCTATGATTTCAAAACAGCACTACCTTAACAATATGTACAAGAACTTACATACATTACTGCAACAAACATGATATGCTAATATAACAGTAAATCAATATTCGGTTTCCCACCATACTGAACAGATGTCATTTACAATGCAAAGCACCCAGTTCACAAAAAAATATTTTGAAACATTTGCTGACAACAGCTTAAACATGCTATATATATGTGGCCAGCCTTCTAATATCTGACTTCCTCAAACAGAGGTTATCTCATGGCAAACACATCTCTTAGAAACACATCTGATCACTTTTAGAGTACATCTACATTAGAGCAGGATGGTGTAAATTCCAGCTTGCATACACTTACCTGAGCTAATTCCATTTGAGCTAGCATGCTAAAAATAGCAGTGTAGTTGGAGTAACGTGGGTGAAGGCATAGGCTAGCTGGCTGAGTATGAAGCTGGGAGTCCAGGCAGTTACATACTTGGGCAGCTAGCCCAAGCTGCTGCCCATGCAGCCCTGGCTAGCTCAAATGGAATTAGCTCAGATAAGTGTATGCAAGCTGGGACTTACACCATCCAGCTCAAATGTAGACATACCCTTAATGTGGCATGAGCATTTACTCTGCTAAATCACAAAAGAATGGAAGTATGTTAGGTTTGTTGGTATTCAGGAGTTGAGCAAACATTGACACAAGCCGTTTCAGTTTCTGATTTGTTGAGTGATGTTAATACAACTAACGTGGTTGAATTATCACCTTAGAATCAGGGTGTTCTTTCCCATGAGTTTCTCCTTGCTGTAGTGAGATCAAGGGTTGTGAATTTCAAAGACAAATTGCCTTTAGGCTGACATGCCATTGGACTATGCTGGGCTAATCAGGTTTGTCACTGACTGGGGATTACTTCCCCCCTATTTGAATTAACAGAGTATGGTCAATGAATTAAGGGGGCAATGCTATTCTCTCACTGTGGGAGTGGAGGATCTTGGCTGTCATAGAACCAGCTGGTTCCACTGTGCATTGGGGTTGGGGGGTATGGTTCCAAAGGACAGGAGACAGATCCTCAGCTGGTGTAAATGGTCACAGCTCCACTGACATCAATGGTGCTCTGACAATTTATAGCAGATGGATATATGGCCCCAGATGTTTTCATCCTATATGGTCCACAATCAGCAGATCTCCATTAGACTGAGCTCTACAAATTGAAAAACAGTGAGAGCTGTTGTATTGGAATATAGCATTTACAAAGACCTTCACACTCCCCTCCCACCCCCAGCCCTTAAATGTGCCAAGATACTATCTGCAAGGTTTATTTTTATCTATCTTAGGTACTTACAGGGTCCCCATTACCACATGTATTTATCCTCACAACATCCCTGAGAGGTAGGGAAGTGCTATTAGCCTCATTTTACTGATGGAAAACTGAGGCACAGAGCTACTAAAAGCAGGGGACTGGACTAGATGACCTCTCAAGGTCCCTTCCAGTCCTACAATTCTGTGACTTACCCCAGCCACGCAGGATTCTGTGATGGAACAAGGAGCTGAACTTGGGTTAAAACTAGAGCCTGATCCCACAACAATTATACTTGTATTTACAAGCACACTGGTTTCCCTTGTGATGGTCCTCATAATGCAGGGGGACTGCATGTGTGTGTCAGGGCTTCCAGTATTTCATTCTAAACTTACTGTATTTTACATAATAGAAAATCATCAGTCCATGCTAATATACCAAGAAGTTTTGTATGACTATGAATTACACATAAATTACATTCAGGGCATTCATCCTGCCTTCTAACACATGGACAGACAAACAAATATCTGAAAATGTGGGAGGAAAACAAATTTGATTTGAGGAAATATATTTAAGTATTTTAAAATAGTAGAAATTGAGCTATTAGTAATATTTAATTGGCATTTGTAAACACAGTTACTAATAATACATATGCATGCAAAGAACAAAGATGCTAGTAGAATCCCTAAGCCAAATTTTGCCTTTGGGTGCATGTGCACTTAATTCACTGAGCCAAATACTGCAGTCTTTACTCAAGCAAAACTATTGACATCAATGGGAGTTTACCCTGAGAAAGTAAAATTTGGCCCAATAGATTCTGTGTGCACATAGCCAAAGGTAGCATGTGTCCCCACATGCACAGACAGTTATTCTTAATAAGAGTCTGCCTGCTGTATGTAAAAGAACAATTGGTAATTAGCTTATAAAATTAATTGGTATTCAAAATGGCAACCAGTTTTACCACCTGAATGTAGCTGCTACACTCTAAGGCCTGCAATCAGATCCACCTGGACAGACCCTAATACCTGTGTATAGTTCCATCGTCTTCAATGGGACTCCATGCAAGCACAAGAGTCAGCCCATAGAGATCCAACTGCCAGATCAGGAAAGAAAATCATAAGCATCAAACATCATGTCTCTGACTTCTAGAGTGACAACTACTATACTAATAAAAGCTGGTTTTCATTTGAATGTGTTCAGTGCCACCTAGTTTATCAAGCATTAAAACACAGGTTTGGGTCTGATAGATTTTTCTGAAGAGAAAAAAAGAGTCAGAAGTGACTGGTCTTACCATTTTTGTCTGCTCTTCTCAATATCTAAATAGAAAAAGAGAGAAAGGAATCACTTTCTGTATACAGGTGTCAGAGTAGCAGCCGTGTTAGTCTGTATTCTCAAAAAGAAAAGGAGGACTTGTGGCACCTTAGAGACTAACAAATTTATTTGAGCATAAGCTTTCGTGAGCTACAGCTCACTTCATCAGATGCATCCAATGAAGTGAGCTGTAGCTCACGAAAGCTTCTGCTCAAATAAACTTCTGTATACACTGTATGACATGCAGATTTTAAACAATGAGCATTTGCCTTTTTTTTTTGTTCCATCATCATATTTTCACAATGCGGTAGCAAGAGAAGCCCCAAGTTTGCTTTTGTCCCTCTCTCACAGTGAGCTTTCTTTAACTCCAGTGCTGTGCACTCATAAAACCAGGGCCCTAGTAATTATTTGTGTTTGTTTATATATATCTATAATATTGCTGACAAGCACTGGACACATCTACAGAGTTATACATATATATCACTGCAGTAATACAAACACTTGTCAGCAATTAAAATGTCTAAACCTGAAAGGGAAAATAAAATCTCTGCTCTGAAGGGGTTATAATCTCATCCACAAACAAACTTGCATTGAAATAACTCAATTGGTTTTCATTTGTGATTGCAGTGCAAGTCTGTATGTGAACACTCATTTCCAAATACAAGTATCCTATGTCAATTTAACTTGATTTGGTACCTGTAAAGTAAAAAGCACCCAGACTTGCACCAGAATTTCTAGAAGTGTGAATTAAAACCAATTTAATTATTTTGGTGCAAGTTTCTATGTAGATCAGTCCTAAAGGTACAAGGGGTGGTACAAACAATGGACAGGGTGTGGATATTAGAGTGCAGTCAATCCAGGACCCATGGGTTGTTAAGTGATTTAAAGGAGCAGAGAGAGACTGTGTAATGGAATGTTAAACTGTATTATACTATTCAGCCACTAGGTGACATTGTGTAAAATACCTCATTTAGAACACCCCCATCCATACCTGGCAGAGCATTAAAGGATCTAAAAGTGAACATGTCTGGTATGTATAGGCAAGCTCTGTAGCGAGTCCATATCTGGTACAGAAGAACATGACATGGTGTCAGGAGTAAACTAAGAACCAAAACAGAAAGAAAACAACAACAAAGGTTGCAGGCAAAAGAAACAGCAACAAAGGTTGCAGGATCTCATCAACATTCCATTCGTCATTGCCTGAGAAAATTCTGCTTTGATAAACCTTCAGAATGAACAGACTGGAAACAAGATTTTGCAAGATTTTGCATTATTAACAAGCTACACAAAGAAACTGGAGATACACAGGTATCATCTTTAATATATGGTATGGGGAAGCAAGCACAGCATATTTTAAAATCATTTGACTTTACTGAATACAGTCACAAAGATGACTATGAAAGGGTTCTGGCTATGTTTGATGAATACTTTATACCTCAGAGAAATGTGGTTTATGAAAGAAGCATGTTTTCATTAGAGAATTCAATTTCATCAGAGAACCAGGGGAAAATGATGAATCTTTTATAAGAGCTCTGCATGTATTGGATAAAAATTGTGATTTCGGGGAATGGAAAACATGAAAATATCAGACAAGCTGGTTATTGGGTTAACAGATAAAAATCTTTCACAACAGCTACAACTGAAGAGAGTTAGCCCTAACCACAGCTATACAGATAGCAAAACAGTCAGAATTAGTTAAACAACAGAACAAAAGGCAGAAGCAACCTGAAAAACCTGAGCCTAGCCTAGAAGCTATAAACAGACATTTTATCATTATCATAAAACCCCTAAGGCAGGAAGAGAGAATTCCCAGGCTAAGAGGGACAAATTCCAGCCTACATGCACAAGGTGTGGAAAAAGTCATATCCTAAGATATGATGCACATCCAGCCAGAGGTGCGCCGTGTAATACTTGGACATATGGACAGTTTGCAGCTCTTTGCTGCACCAAAGCAATAAGGGAGTTAACTCATATTACAGACAGACAATCAAGAGTCATTGTTTCTGGCATCTGTCACTTGTGATGACACAGAGCCTGCCTGGAGAGTGAAATTGAGTATTTTTGGCAGGACTACTGACTTTTACATTGACTCAGGAGCTGAGGTCATACTCATCCCACCTTCAACCCCTTTCAGAAACAAAGTTACTTGACACAGCTCTGACTACCCTGGAGGTATTCTGAAGTGCAAGTCCACTTCACCACCAGAACAACTTACAAAGACAAAAGCTATGCGTTCGGAGTGTATGTGACCAAACACCAGAAACCTTCTCAGCCACAGTATGGCACCCATGATGGGCCTAGAGAGAAAGGAGGACGAACTCAGTGGACAATTTGATGATATGACTTTTGAAAGGAGATCCTGTACAAATAAACATAAGAGACAATGCTGGATCATACAATGTACAAACACCTCGACCAGAGAGATCTTGGAAGAGACTTGCTGCAGATTTAGGCAAATTCAGAAGACATCATTACCTGGTTGTCATGGACTATTTTTCCTGATATATAGAAATAGTGAACTTGAAAGACATAACATGATGCAGTGGTATCGAGAAACTGAAGTGCACTTTTGCTCACTTTGATATTCCAGAACAACTAGTGATGGACAGGGGACCACAATTCACTGCAGCAGAATTTAAGTCATTCTGAACAAAATACGATTTTGATCATATTACTTGGAGCTCTCAAGCAAACAGAGAGGCTGAGAGAGCTCTACAGACAGCCAAGAAAATCTTATAGCAGGAAGATCCATTCCTTGCTCTTCTAAACTACAGATCAAAAAATAAAGCAGCTACTGAATATAGTCCAGCACAGCTCCTGATGGGAAGACAACTCAGAACAATCGAATGAACGACAAGGATGAATACATCTGGGGTGTACAAGCAAGCGCTGTAGTCAGTCCATATCTAGTACAGAAGAACTTGACAAGATCCTTCGGGAATGCGGCTGGGAGGCTGCTGCAAACATAAGAGACTGTGAATAAAGACAAAGGGTTAAGACTGGGCAAGGGAGCCAAAGGGAGCACTCCGCAGAGAACGTTTAGTGGCGCAAAGGGATCAGACTGGGTTCAGGAGGCAGTGAGATCAGATATGTGGGAACAAGTTTGTGCATTGCTTTGAAAGTGGGGGGAAGCTTGAACTGGCTGTGGACGAAAAGGAAAAAAAACGAGTGCAGAGATGTAAGAATGGGGAAAGCAAGGTCAGGAAAATGGCAGAGGAAGATGCTGTTGCCAGCTGTGTTCTGGATGGACTAAAGTGGGGGGAGAGGCCAGGAAGACGGAGACTATGGCAGGAATTAAATAAAGAAAAATACATTTCAAAAGGGAACTGCTACCATGGTTTGTTGTGGGGAGAAGAGATACAAAATTGAAACGTGCGGAGTTTGTATCATGACTTTTACTAAGAGATCTAAATTCTCATCTACAGATGGTAGAGGCCTGTATTTACCCCACACTGCAAACAGTGCATGTCCCAGAAGCTGTCTAAATAATCAGGTTGAAATGTTGGACTCATCACTCAAAGCCTGATTTGGGGACCTAGATGGAAGATAAGCAGATGGATTCTTCCAGCCCTCCTGCCATTTTGAAGGAAGAAAACAAGTAACGTGAACATCTGGGATGAACTGTAGTCTGTTTGTGGCCCTCCCCACACCCACCCCATGCAAAATTTTGGGCCAGTGGCTCTGTGCTATGCTCAGCATTCCCCCCTGCCCCCAGCCAGCCCACTCACAAGTCTGTTTCTGAGTATCTTGGAGAATGACACTCTGGAGCAGTGCTCCATGATGCATGGGTGTTGGGAATCCTCCCTCCATAGGATGCTTCCGTCCCAGCACAGTGGTTTTTATTGCCATTTAAGGCCTTGTACCTACCCGAAGGCCGGCCAAGATAGAAACTTGTTCCTATTGGGATCCGAGGCAACCAGTCAGATACCAGCTGAGCATTATTAATAGGTTGCCACAACATAGAAATGGAAAGCTTCATCTGAACAGAAGTTTCTACAGAAATATGTAGGCACACAGAATGGGCAACATTTTCCAAATGGGTGTGAGTACTTACGATAAGTCAAGGCGAGAGGTTTGCTTTCTAAGCCAGTTAGAACACAGCAGATCAGTAATGGTGCAGCTAAGAAGCTAGCTAGGATTAGTTTAAATAAATCACCTATAGTAGCATTACTTTATAGTCTTTATTAGAGATTGGACTAACTGAAAACCCAAGACCCAGCCACCCCTGAAATTTGAGCGTCCTAGCCCTCTGTGTGATTGCTTTGCCTGACTGTATGTTGTTTGACCTGGGAACAAAGCTTAAAAAAATAAGACACAGATCCAGATCCAGGACTCCCTTCATAAACTCAGATCTGAACTTTGGGATGTTCAAAATCTAGATTCAGGTCCATTCTGAACTAAATTTAGTGGCTTTAATTAATCTCTAGTTAGTACCTCTGAACAAAGGGGACTTTGCAACTCAGCTCTCAATAGCACGATTGGGCTGCTCAGTTCCTGATTTTTTATTTTATTTTTTTTTAACAATTCGCTGGAAACACTTTACTAACACCCAATTGCTAAAGTCTGAGGATCTTAAGCTTAAGAAAGTACTATTGAAAATCAAAAATGCAGGAGGACAAAGGACCATCTGGAGCCTTGTCAGAACAGTTTTACACTCGGTAATGTTCTTTTAATAGCTAAAATACAACACAAGGGTCCTAGCTGATATTGTGGGTTTTTTTTTTTCATTTGGCAATCAGTATTAGTTTTTCTTCTGTGTTTTCACATGGAGCAAACATCAAAATGTTTCTCCATTTTGCCTGCTTCCTTGTTTGTGCACCAGCAACAGCGATGTCTGTAAGAATGTGCATTGTACTGGAATTAGTAGCTGTTAGTTAATATCAGTTGTAGAGACAGCAAGAGAGCTCACAGTTGTTTTGATTCCTTTTTTAATGCCAAAGGACAGAGAGAGAGAGAGCGACAGAGAGAGTTGTGAATTTAAAAAATAGATATGTTGAGATCTAGAGCTAATTACTAGGGCTGGCTATGCAAGATTCTACCTGATTCAAAGAGGATAGCATGTAGCCCCCAAAGGGGAGGCAAATCCATAGTGGCAAGTGCAGAAATCCTGCTTCTTGAAGCAAAGGTGCATGGATTGAATTGCCTGCTGGGAGAGCCTGGGTAAGCATGGCTAATGGGTGGAATACTGAGAAAATAAGTGGGATGTACCCAACACAGAGCAAGTGGCACAACCTAGATAAATAGCCCTGAGCAATAATGGCGTATGCACAATACCACCGTCTGGGTGGTACAGCTACCACACGAACCAGAGACATCCAGGTCACTAGCAGTTGGTGCAATGTCCCGTTCTCAGCCTCCATGCAAGTGATTATATTTCACTCAGCATTACATTAAAGTATTGGAGGCACCCGAAGGCAGGCAGAAGATTGGGAGCCCAACTATCATTTACTTACCTTCCTCATTAGGGTGTTGTGAACAGGAGAAACTTTAACTTTGTATAGCTGCTTGAAGATGAAAGTGCTATATAAATGTTAAGCATCATTATTGGGATGTTACCAGTCGGCAGCAGTCAGTTAAAAGAGGAGAACACAGCCCAATCTACCCCAGCATCAACACACAGGAACATGATGCTTGGCTGGATACACGATTACTTTTGTTGGAATTGCAGCCACATAGATATAGGGAGAATTCAGAAATCTATTACGGCATCCAAACACCGATGTATTTCGGTGGCAATGTATTGACATCAAAGGCAGTCATGCGCCGTATTGTGAGTACACAGGAACAAAATGTAGGTAATGTTCACTGTGTTGCAATCATACTTGGCTAGTGTACAGCTTAAGATCCAGCTTACCTGCCCCCCACCTCCCTTTAGAGGGGATACTTTGGTGCTCTTTTTAGGGCCAAACCTTCTGCTACTTATGTGTTGGTGAATCTTTGTGAGATCACTCAGAGAGGATATTCCCCAATTTAGGATGCTGTTACCTTTAGCTGTAGGCTCCACTCAAACTCTTATCCCTTTTTTTCTTGCAAACCTGTGATTCCACCTCTTTGTAATGCATGTGCAGAACTCCCTTTTGCTTTAAGGAGAGTTATGCACACACACCAAGGGAAGAATAAATCTTGTAGGATCAAAGTGATATATCCAGAAGCAGCATTTTTATTATGTTTACAGGCCATAAATATATATAAATATAATAAAATGCAATAAAAGGTAGACGTCTCTTAAATGATTACAGGAGGGGCTTATAAAAATCATTAAAAGTAGCAGTGGTTTTTACTGAATGCTCAGTAAAATTGTTGGGAAACTTCTGGGAATTTTAATGTGGTCACTTCAGAGGTGTTTATAGATGTAGGGCCCTTAGTACAAGTTTCATTGTTGATGAATATAGATGGGTGGGCCTGCACACATGGTTACAAACTTATATTGTGCTTTGTATTTTGAAGGACTCAGACTTTGGGGTAATGTAGTGTGGATCTATGGAGCTTGTTGAATCAAAAACATAAATGCACAGACTGATTCAATCCTGCAAACTTTGCCTATACAATACTAAGACCTACAGAGGGGCTACATTCTTTGTTAATGTCGTTACACTCAATCCCACAGCATGTGTAGACAATGTATATGGGCTCAGTCTTGTGCAAGGTGCTGAGCACTTGGTGGCTGATCCAGCACGTAACCAAATGCTCACCTTTGAGCACGCCCATAGTCCTGCTGAATTCAAGTGAGACTCGTGCTCAAGTGCTTTTCTGGATGAGGGCCAGAATGCTTGGCCGAATCCTGCAGGGCGAGGAGCAACTCCTGAAAAGGTCTGAGGTGCTGAGTGCTACCTTCAGCAGTGGGAACTGAGGGTGCTTAGTCTCCTGACGATGGCAATCAGCACATTGTAGGTTAGTTTCTAAATACCCTCCGTTCCTCTAGAGTCTACTGGGAATTGAGGGGCCCCTTTGCTTTCAGGAGATACTCAGCACCCTGCTGGATTTGTCCTTCTTGATGATAAGAAATACAAGTAGCAGACAGTAAATTCCTGAAAGTTAAATTATTTTTGGCTCAGCTGTAAATTCAACAGAGGTATGGCTGTGACTCTCCCCTGACAGCTTCTTCACATCCAGACCTGATCTATAATCTACTGTCATCTGTGTATGTTATTCATTTTCTAACACAAATATGTGATGTTTAAAAATTCATTTAGAGTCCTATAAATAAAAGCAGACCAGGTCCCAGATCCTAAACACGTTTTGTCTATAAGCAATGCTCTAAATTGTTATTTTTTTAAAAGTAATATGGTCAAACCAGGAAAAGAATATAAAGAGTTGACTGATCCAGAGGCAAAGCAAGACCGTGGTACATTTTAGATTTCGGCTTTGACCATTTTTCCCTTTAAAAAGACAATTTCATCTGTTCCTCGTTGGGAGAGCTTTTAATGCCACCTTGGTTTAGGGGGCATTTCTAACCAGTCTAGCCGAACTTGCATTATCAAGGTGCTCATATATATCTATGATCCTAATGTGCCATAAGCATCTTTTGCTGCAACACTATTTTAACTGGTATGCCACGCTTCTGATGACTATAATTGTTTGTTGATAAAAAAAATTAAGCTCTATATTAACAAGAGGGTTTGAGAATGCACATTCTCAAATGCACGGTATTCAGAAGAGAGGGCTAGTGTAGTTCTTCCTTAAAAACACCTTGGTATGCGCCTTCGAAACTTCCCATCACCTGGACCCTGGCTCGGGGCAAATCGCTGGGAAATCCATTGAACGCCCAAGGAAACCGCTGCGAGGGATTTTTGCTCTGGTGCCCGGCCACGGGTTGTTTTCTCAGCCTCTCTCCCGGCAGGACGCGATATCTAGCTGTGGTTACCTGCGGACGTGGGCACACTGCAGCCGGCTGCGAGGACGCGCCAGAGCCTGACTCCCGCGTACGCTTGTTTTCACTCTCCCAAGAACTCGCCCCTCCAGCTCTGCTGCCGCGCCAGGCGGGCTGCGTCCCGCTCAGCCCCACACCCCGGCTGCCCCCCGCCCTGAGCCCGCCCCTAGCGAGCCTGGCCGAGCCAGGCCGCCCCGGACTTACATCGAGGAAGATCGACATCCCTTTGGTGAGCGGCAGGGCCGGGCTGAGCCCCTCGGAGGAATTGGTTGAGGAGGGGGACATCTCCTGACCGTCCTCCATGCCTTCTGCCGGGGAGCGGGGGCGCTGCGGCCGGAGTGGGCTGGGGCTCGGCTCCTGGAGAGACGCCGCTGCTGGAGGCTGCTCACGCTGGGCTCTGGCCGGGGCCCCCTCCCCGCGCTCCTCCCTTTGCTGATGGCGCTACAGCCCGTGTCAGTTTCATGGAGTCACATTGCAACGCGATCGCTCCCCAGGGACCAGCCCCGCGGGGTGGGCAGATCCCGCCGCCTTGTCTCCTTGCAGCCGGGGGGCAAAACTCCTCCGCTCCCCCCTGGCCCGAGCCGCGATCGCCAAATTACCAGGGGCTGGTGCGCGAAACAACAGCCCCTTCCCACGCGGGCTGCTGATGTGGCTCAGGGACTGGCCACCTTGAAACCATCCTCCAGGGATGGTGAGTTTTAGCCCAGAGGAGATGTGCTCCCCTGGGCGCGCGCTCTCTGCACCCCTTTGTGCGTCTGCACGGGCGGGGAGATCAGCCTGCATGGGCCTAAATCAGCCATTCAACTGAATGTCTAAACCCATCGCACCTATTAATTTACTCCGTCTATTACTCGGAAGGATGGGGGCTGAGGCGGCCAGGAAACACACTGGGACATGACTGATCACCACTATTGCAAAGCGGATAGTGCTGGTGCCTTATAAATGGGCAAAACCAGAATGGAAACTGGTAAACAAGAGTCACTACTTGCTCCAAATGCAAGCCAGAGAATTCAAAGGAAATATTAGCTTATGCCTAAGGCTGCTCCTCCATCTCCCTGTCTCCCCTGCGCAAGGAGGCAGCAGGCTCATGACTGAGCCCTTTACTGTTTCATCTGGCTCCCACTCCCCGTTGGCAGTGGTGGTGGTGGTGTAGCTATGCTAGGTCCCAGGATATGAGAGACAAGGTGGGGGAGGTGATATCTTTTATTGGACCCACTTCTGTTGTCAAGAGAGACATGCTTTGGAGTTACACAAAAGAAGAGCTCTGCACCCCTGGAGAGTTTGTCTCACCCACAGAAGCTGGTCCAACGCAACAGATGTCCTCCCGCACCTTCATAGAATCATAGACTTTTAGGTCAGAAGGGACCATTATGATCGTCTAATCTGACCTCCTGCACAACACAGGCCTTGGAATCTCACCCACCAACTCCTGTAACAAACCGCTACCTTATGTCTGAGCTATTGAAGTTCTCAAACCCTGGTTTAAAGACTTCAAGGTGCAGAGAATCCTCCAGCGAGTGACCCGTGCCCCACGCTGCAGAGGAAGGTGGAAAACCCACCAGGGCCTCTGCTAATCTCCCCTGCGGGAAAATTCTTTCCCGACCCCAAGTATGGCCATCAGCTAAACGCTGAGCATGTGGGCAAGACTCACCAGCCATACCCTCAGGAAAGAATTCTGTGTAGTAACTCAGATCCCACCCCATCTAACATCCCATCACAGGCCATTGGGCATATCTACCGCTAGTAGTAGAAGATCAATTAATTGCCAAAATTAATTGGCTTTCCCATCATATCATTTCCTCCATAAACTTATTAAGCTTACTCTTGAAGCCAGATATGTCTTTTGCCCCCACTGCTTCCCTTGGAAGGCTGTTCCAGAACTTCACTTCTCTGATGGTTAGAAACCTCTGTCTAATTTCAAGTCTAAACTTCCCGATGGCCAGTTTATATCCATTTGTTCTTGTGTCCACATTGGTAACGAGCTTAAATAGTTCTTCTCCCTCTGTGGTATTTATCCCTCTGATATATTTATAGAGAGCAATCATATCTCCCCTCAGCCTTCTTTTAGTTAGGCTAAACAAGCCAAGCTCATTGAGTCTCCTTTCTTAAGACAGGTTTTCCATTCCTCGGATCATCCCAGTAGCCCTTCTCTGTACCTGTTCCAGTTTGAATTCATCCTTCTTAAACATGGGAGACCAGAACTGCACACAATATTCCAGATGAGGTCTCACCAGTGCCGTGTATAACGGTACTATCACCTCCTTATCTCTACTGGAAATACCTCGCCTGATGCATCCCAAGACCGCATTAACTTTTTTCACGGCCTATCTCCCTCCCTTTGTCTGTTTTGCCCACTTATTGAGAATTGTCATGAACCTAGATTCTGAGCTCCCTGGGGCTTTTTGACTTGTAGCCTCTGGCACCTCGGCCCCGATTGGCATCTCTGGGAGACACTGTGATACCAATAAATAACAATCCAATTACAACCTCATCTTTTTAAAGAAATTCCTCCCCCAATAGTCTTATGCTAGAACTTGCATGTCAAATTTCAGCCTGGTTTCAATTTGAAGAACAAAGGGAGGTAATCTAATTCTGATTTGAGGATTTACCTGCATAACTCCCGTAGCAAAAATATATCAGTCACTTGTAAATGTCTTTCAAAAAGGTATTTTATAAAGGAAAGAGATGGGATTCTTCACTCTGTTACCATCTCCTAGAAATCAGCCAGAAATTACTTTTTTTAAATGATTCTTGCTTTTCAAGTTTACTACAGGTTAGTATAAAATAAAATGCCATTTGTGTGCCATTTTCATAACACTCCAGGTGAGCTTTCCAAGAAAGGTTGAACTTCTCGGGTAATTCACAAAGACTCTAAAAACATGCTGAAGAAAATTCAACAGGACTGAGCATAATGATCCGCATAATAAACACCCTACACCACTTTATGTTGTAAAGTATGTGAATTTTCTAATGGGCTTCACAAACTGTGTTTGTGTGTTGGGGTTAGAGAGCACTGTTTCCCGTGTGTGTCTCTCTAACTGCAAAGAAGAAGGAAAACAATGACAGGCAAATAAAGAAGGGTTTCAGAGTAGCAGCCGTGTTAGTCTGTATCCGCAAAAAGAACAGGAGCACTTGTGGCACCTTAGAGACTAACAAATTTATTAGAGCATAAGCTTTCATGGGCTTTTCGTGGGGAAAGAAGGGAGCCAATTCTTGCCCTATGTGGAAACCCATCAAGCTCACTTGGCTAGATTGGCTGCATTGTCAGACTGGCAGAGAGCGTCTGCTGAGCTGCTGCTCCCCCTCCCACGCAGATGGCTAGGTGGGGTGTGTGTGGGGGAAGGGGATAGTTCTGTTTCCCCCCAGTACAGGGGATAGGACAGTGAGGAGGGGGAAGTAAGCTACATCATGAATGGGGCTGGCTTGCTTAGCTTCCTTCCCCCATGGAACAACGAGAAAGCAGGGACCAAGCTGTGATGCTGGGTGTCTCAGCCTGGTCCTCACCTCGCTCCTGGAGAAGCCTAGCTACTTATTGTCCCTCACTTGGATAGGATTATGACTGAGTCCAGTCCCCTGCTGTTGCAGGCAACCCAATGAATCAGGAGGTCCCTTCTAGGCCTATGTTCCTGTGACTGGTCCAACTCAAAGGGAGACTATTTTGCATAATAAGCAGGGATCTCAGTTCACCCCTTCCCTAGCTATTGTTAGATGGCAGAGCTGGTGCATTTGCCTTATAATTGTCCCTGCCTATTTTGACAGTTCTAGTTCCCCCCTCCACATGTCCAATCAGTAAGTGGAATTAATTATCTGCCGTAATTTTTCAGCACATTCAAATGAAGCAGCTCTCATTGTGTAAATATTCACACACTGGGGTGTAAAGTGCTCTATCTAGTGTGCACTACAGAGCTATTACTCAGTCTCCGGCAGTGCATAATGGAGAGGGGAGGATGCGCTAAAAGTTGTGCCTTATTTTTTCACCACTTCTGTCAGTTCAAGACAGAATCTTAACACTATTTTCATGCACCATTTCATATTGAATAGCGTACAGTTTTCCAAATTTGCTCCATGGTGCTGCTGTCACTTTTTTTTTTTTTCGTCAGAGTGGGAGAGGAGTGATCTGTCTGTGCTGCAGTTGCCTGTCCAAAGTTTCACGAGAAATAAATTGGTTTATTTCTTATTTCAGAATAAGATTCTTATTTCAGAATAAGACCGCTTGGTCTTATTCTGGCCATTCAGAACACACTTCCTGTGAGTCTCCTCCTCATCTGCCCTTCTTCTCTTTTCTAGTTTCAAGAGAAAATGTGATTTAGGGGAGACATAACTCCCCAGTAATAAACAAAGGGGCATTACAAAGAGGGAAGGGCTCTATTATCCTAACTGAAGGCGACCTGAAAATAGGAAAAAAACTATCTGGTCATTTTTGTTTCTTAATGATATGCACAGAAATCCCAGAAGTTTGCCTTTTTTATTTATTTGTTAATCTACTTGTTTTTAAAAGATTGGGAAACAGGTGACTGAAGAACTACAATACAATGAAGACAGTGCAAGAGCCAAGAGAGTGAAAGCTGAGCAGTTGAGAGGGGAAGGGATTCTTTGGGTTTGTTTTTGTTAACATGTTTAACTTCAATGACAACTCACCATTTTAGAGAATGGAAGCCTTTGTTAAAGAGCCCAAACCCTCACCCCTTCAAGAGGAGGCATTAGACCTCACAGTTAACACCCCTGAGACTTCTTACAGGTCCTTTAGCAAAATTGCCGAAGAAGAGATTTGATAATCCTGATATATTTAAAGGTATGAACAAGCAGTTTATATTCCCCTCCCCCACCAAAAAATACCTTTAATGCTTCTTTGTGGTTGTATGCAGAAAGCTTGAGCCTAATAATTAAAAAAAATCCTTTATAAGAAACTTTTACACAGATGCAGACTCTTACATAGCGCTTTTCATCAATTGATCTCAGTGCTTTGCAAAGGAGGTGAGTATTATTACCCCTACTTTACACAAGGGGAAAATGAAACAAAGAAGTGAAGCAAGTTGTCCAAGGAGAAATGGCTTCATTTGCTGCACAGAATGTTTCGATTGATTATTTTAAGGTTGTAGGTAAGCAAACAAACTTAACTTGGGTGAATCAAGGAAGGGGTTGGATGAATAGAGGTGGTCAGAATTTTCCAGTGGAACATTTTTCTCCATCAGAAAACACTGTTTTTTTTTTTTTTTCAAAACAAAGGACTATGCAGCTTCTGATAAAATTTTGCTTAGAAAAAATTGAAAAAAAAAGTACTGTGACAGGTGGAAAATAGAACACTTTGACCTTGTTTTTCACTTTGAAATAACTTTTTTCTTTTCAATTTTTTTATTTTATCATAAAATAAGTCAAAATTGGAACAGTTTTTTATTGTTATTGAAATGGGCTGTTTCAGTTGACTCAAAACAATTTTTTTCTGGAAAATTTCACTTTGTGGGTGTCATAGAGTTACTCCCCTGAGAGTCCTTTCAGACCTTAATCACAGACCACAACCACTCCAAGTCTTCTTTCCTTTCTTTTCAGGCAGTAGCCACATTCCCCACTTACTTCTGGGTACAATAGTACTAGTATTAGCCAGGCCTATCTATTTCGGCTTTTCTTTGGGCTCCTAATTCTCCTCTCAGTATTGTCTTAGGGTATGTCTACACTACGAAATTAGGTCGAATTTATAGAAGTCGATTTTTTAGAAATTGGTTTTATATATTCGAGTGTGTGTGTGCCCACAGAAAATGCTCTAAGTGCATTAAGTGCATTAACTCGGCGGAGTGCTTCCACAGTACCGAGG